CTGATATGACTTAGTGCCATTTTATGGTTGAATGAATAGTAAAAGTAATATTATATGGTGGTATTGAATAATTTAAAGTGCATTGTGAATGGAATGTTGTGACCAACCATTAATAATCAGTAAATAAAGTGTTGGCTTTGATTATTAATCAAATTTGATATCTAATATTGCTTGTTGGGTTTAATGAATGGATTGCATGCTTAGTAAAAGGGTTATGTGTCGTGTCGGTTTGGGAGGAAAAGAATCAACAATTAAATTAGTTTTATGTTAGAATGAGTACCTAAAGGTACAAGTTTGAGTGGGGAAAGGTGATAATTAATTCCCTCTAGTGATGCTAATAATTAGCTTGGAGTAGTCGGTCACTGGAAATTGTATAAGGAACAAATTATTAGCAGGTTAATGTTTTGTATGTTTTGTCGTAGTTAAAGTGCTGGATAAACTTGTGGTTTCGATTATAGGTATTTCTATGGTTATCACATTATAATCTAAGTTTTGATAAATCGATATAGATATTAAATATTAGGTTTATCGAATTATTTAAATTCCATTAAAAGTTATGCTAATTGGAGGAATTAAAACCTACCCTTAGGCTTGAACTTTAATAAATTGATTATAGAATTAGGTGAGTTTTGGGTCTAGGCTAGGCAAAGAATAATATGAGTGTTTATAGACTCGTTAACTTACAAATTATGCATATATACTTGATAGATTGGAAAGGTTCGGAGGCATTGAGGAAAGGAAAAGTATTGGAGAAGTAGTTGTTTGACTTCGGTTCTTCGGTGGAGGTAGGTTATGGTTTGTTCTATTTGATAGATAAACTTTTAATAGCGATTGATATGCATTGAATGATATTGTGAAGTTCTCTATGTACTTGACTGTGTGATTATGTGGCTTGGTTGTGTGGTTTGTGATTGGTCTAAATCCTGAGACCGTGAGATTTATAATCTGAAAACCTCTCCATTGAAGTTATGCCTTGAATAAAGAGGGCTTGATGTAATATTATTAATGAACATGAAAAGTAGTGATAATAAATGATAATTTAATAATATTATTGGATCGGAGTGTCACGTTCTGACACAGTATTTTTGGATCGGAGTGTCACGTTCCGACACGGTATTTTTGGATCGGAGTGTCACGTTCCGACACGGTATAATTGGATCGGAGTGTCACGTTCCGACACGGTAACCTTAAAGGAAAAAGATATTGAATTAACTTAATGTACTCAATCTCAATGAACGCATTTCCCAAACGATTGTGATGTAGAGGCATGAGTCCTCGTGTGTGTGCTTGATATTGTGATTGATTACGTACTTGCTTCAACTGTTACTTGTTCATGTTGTGGTTTCTTATCACCTGCTAAGTGCTATAGTTGACTTTATACTATTATTCATTGTATATTAGCTTCTATTTTGGGTTGGCCGATAATACCTACTCAGTACGTGTTCCTTGTATTGACCCCTACTTGTGTTTTCTTCGTTTTTCTTTTGTGGAGTGCAGCAAGTGTACTATCGACTTCGACTCGCCCTCAGCTCTAGCCAGTCTCCAGCACATCAGATTTCAGGGTGAGCTATTCTTTCTAGCTCGTGCTGGATTCTCTCAGTTATGGCGTGATGTCCTTGAATTTCGGACATGGACCATCGTATTTACTTATTTTGGGTGTCTCTAATACTTTTAGACTTGATATGTTAAGAACAGATGTCCTTGATGTGATGACTTTCAGATTTTTGGGATAATATATAATAGACTTTAGAGGTTTATTTGATTGGTTACTTTAATAAGTTTTGGAGCTCCCGCGTTATTGTTGTTATTCGTAGTTGAATTATTGGAATATGTTGGGGTTTAGATTCATTGGTCCGCCCTCTTAGGAGGTTAAGTGTGGGTGCCACTCATGACTCAATTTGGGTCGGGACAGTTGTATTGGTTAGAAACTTAATGAAGACTTTGTTAGGAACTTAATGAAGATTTTGCTGATTATTTGGTGGATTTGGCAGCTGTTAAAGATAGTTCAAAATGAACTACCGATTTACAACTGGACTATTTGGTTTTAATTAGTTTTAGTTTATAATTGACTAATATTAGCTTTTGCATGATTGTAAATATCTGCAATTTGATTAACATCAGGAATTCAGATTGTGTGTTTTTTTTAAATAACGTAAGAACTTCATTTAGTTGGGCCTTTTCTTTATATTGATTTACCAAAAGCATGACCTCATTTGCTACTGTTTGGACTTTTGACTATGATTTATTTTATTTGATTCTCTTTATTGCATAAAGGGGACCTCATTTTATATATTATGGTGATAAAAAAATTGACCAAGACTTTGTTGTGATGACCAAAATACAGCAAATTGGTCCATGTTGTCCCGTTTGGGATGATTATTTTGATGTATGTGTATCGCGTCAAATTATTGGATAAGTCATATATTTATTTTGAAAGCATTTTCTTATTGGTTAAATCGAAAACCGAACTGTTAAAGACCTAAAATTGATAAATCGAAAGCTGATAACAAATATCTTATTGGTTTGCATATTTAAAAACCAAAAACCGATAAATCAAACCGATAATACTTAAAACCGAACCGAACCGACCGATACACACCCCTAAATCTTGGTGTAATGTATGTTCCATATTGAATGTATGTATTACCATCTATTTTATATCTTCTAGGATTTATCTATCCATTTGTAGCTTTTTTTTTAATTTGCTTGAATTGAAATTCAAATAGTGGTTATAAAAGGTAAATAACAATATGTTAAAATTATTAAAATTAAGCGGGTCATGACACAATCTATTTAGCCCATTTGAGCCTAAAGTAAATTTGGGCAGGTCATGACCCAACTCAATTTTTATTTCAACCCATTTTAATATCTTCAATTTCAACCTAACCCGCTCATTTGACACCCCTACCTATGGAATTTATCTATACCAAAACAAAAATCCCTTGATGACCCTTCCCGCATTGTGTGCAAATAGGTCTCCTTAAAACTCAACTTAGACTATCATTGCTACTGATGTTAACATGTTTGGAAAATACACTCTTTGTGTCTATAGCCTTGAAGGTCCCATCGCTAACATATATTGAGATTCATGCAAAATACTTGGAGTATTTCTTGCTACACTTATCACAAGGATGACATTTGTCGTAATCTACGATCTAAGTCTCCTCCTGGTTTAAGGTGTTATACAATTATCTCCTTAACTTGATAAACCTCTTACAAGACTGGCGAAACAACTTATATCCCTTCAGATAACATTTCCCCTCATCCTCTTTATTGGAGGGACAATAATTTCCACCTCAGGAAATACAACTACTTGTCTAATGTTTTGGGGCATTTCATTACTATATATAATAGTTATATATTCCATGATCCAGATATTAACCTTTTAGGTAATACTTCTCACAAATGGTACAACTCAGATGATGGACATGAATCCACTTTTGCCTTCTTGCTTTATAAATAACCTTGTTTATGATCATAGTAGTATCATCATAGAGAGGAACAAGAGTATATCTTCTGAAAAAATGACACTCGAATGAACAAAGAGATTGGTTCATTTTCCCCTTGAGTTCTTGTACAACCCCTCCCATTCTTGATGGTTCTATTCGAAAGTAACACTTCTATAAGAATTTAGCTTTACATCATCTTTCATCCCTCAAAGACAACGCACAATTGATAGAAAAGGAGAAACACATGAGTTGTTTCCTTAAGGCTCAACTTCATAGCACAACCTGAAGTGCGAATGAAAAGTAACATTCTCTGAATTTCTTATAGGCTCTCAATTATAGATATGACGCGCTTTATACCCATAACTAAGACTCTATCAGATATGACTTTATTAACTCCCTAAGTCATTTGAACCTAGTGCTTTGATATTAAATTTATCACGTCCCGAACCTACATTTCGGGCGCCAACAATGGCATCGAGTGCTTAAGAGGAGAGCTCTCAAGCAATTTTTTTTTTCATCAACCCATCTCACTTTATCGAAGAATCAGTGGCGAATTTAGGTGCAAAAAATAGGGCACCCAAACCCGTGGTCTCTTCGTAAAATTGGATATTTTATGTATATATTTTCTAACATTTGTATAATATTATATTCTTGCACCCGTACTATAAAAAGTCTAGTTGGTCCACATGGTTAAATGTTGAGCTTTTGACTTTGAAGACTGAGGATCAATTCCCACTTAATACATTTTTCTTGGTGCACCCATATTCGAAAAATCCTAGATTCGCCTCTGCGAAGAATTTATAATAAGTCAAATATTTAGTTCACATATCTAAAAGAAATAATTAATCAGCTCTAAATGTCGCTAAAAGAAAGAAGAAAAAAAGGATGTGCAAACAAGCTATGGGTTTACAACATATCATAATAAGCACATTCAGACGTTGTTTGAAGTGTAATGAGAATAATGCTGATTATGTTGTACTAATAATGCTAATAATAGTTATGATGAGATTATTTCTTATGCACTGTTGATTTGTTGTATTAAAAATAACACGTATGACATAATTTCTAATTTTTATATTTACAAAAATATCCTTCACAAATACAATGGAAAAGTTATGAAAAAGGTTTTGAGGGAAAGTATATCTTTAACCATATTAATGCATGTATAAAAAATCCTTAGGGTCATTTGGTAGGATGCATAAAAAAATAATGTATGTATTAACTTTGTCTTATAGTAGTTGCTAGTTTGGTACATTTTTTCAACCTATGTTATAACTAATGCTATACTCTATTAACATTAATATGTGTATAATTAATATATGAAAATCTATAATATTTGTAATACAAAGAACTAATGCTATACTCTATTAACATTAATATATGTATAATTAATATATGAAAATCTATAATATTTGTAATACAAAGAATTTTAATACATACATTATCATGAGTAAAATTTCCCTTAAAACTTTTTTTCCACCTCCTTTCTCATAATAATAATAATAAAATAAAATAAAAGCAAAAACAATGTACAACACCCAAGAAAAGAGGGTGTTAGCTTGGAGTTTGACATTAGTGTGAAAAACCCCAGAGTTGTAAATAGATTTTGGCAGTGAAGATGATGGGTAAAGAAGGCAGCATGGAGAATCTATCTCTTGAGGATGATGACAAGTTCACCTCCATTTCCAAATCCTACTCTAACTATCGCAGTGCCATGACTTGTCTTTCTGATTCTCACCATCCTCTTTCCCCGTCGATCGTCGACGATTCCCTCGACCCCTTATTAGCATCTTCTATTCAACCATCCGTCATTGATGATCATGATATTGTTGTTGAACAATTTCAAAACCCTACAATAATCTCCCCTCCTTTAAACTTGGAGTATTTGAATATCACTGTTTCCGATCCACACAAGGAAATACAAGCATCCCCCTCAATTGTTCCCGGCACTAATACTTACGTTACCTATTTAATTACCACACAAACCAATTTACCTGATTATGGAGGATCCGATTTCACCGTTCGAAGGCGCTTTAAAGACATAGTTACCTTATCAGACAGATTGAGTGAAGGTTACAGAGGTTATTTTATTCCTCCCAGGCCAGATAAAAGTATCGTCGAGAGTCAAGTCATGCAGAAACAGGAGTTTGTTGAGCAAAGAAGATTGGCATTGGAGAAGTACTTGCACAAGCTTGCAGCACATCCACTCATTAAGAAGAGTGATGAATTGAGGGTCTTTTTGCAAGTCCATGGGAAACTTCCCTTGCCAACTACCACTGATGTCGCATCGAGGGTATTGGATGGAGCAGTAAAGTTGCCAAAACAATTATTTGGGGAATCAGGAAATGTCATTGGCCCGCAAGATGTTGTGCACCCTGCTAAAGGTGGTAGGGATTTGCTCAGGTTGTTCAAAGAATTGAAGCAATCTATTGCCAATGATTGGGGTGCCTCCAAGTCATCTGTTGATGAGGAGGATAAGGTTTTCCTGGAAAATAAAGAAAGGTTGCACAATCTTGAGCTGCAACTTAGTAATGCGTCAAAGCAGGTATTTTTCACCCTATTCATCAATTTTATTGTTTCTCATTCTAGTTCAATCTATTTTTGTGCTTTTGTAGAAGGAATATACCACAGTTTATCTTGAATTCTCAAGTAGCTATATAGATAGGTCATAATGGAAGAAGAAGATTATCTCCTAGTTGAGGATAGGTTTTAAACTTGGTTATCCTTATACTTTTTTTTTTATACACATATAACACTTATTTTCCACTTTTATTTAATTCAGTGCGGTGAGGATAGGAAATGAGCTTAAATGAAAAAGTGGATATTCCTTATAGTCAAACCCAACTTGTTTGGGATTGAGACATAGTTGTTGCTGTTTTTATCCATTACTATTCAATTCTCTGATTATTGTTCTATTTGCTATCAGTTAATGTTTATTGTTCCATTTCAAATTAGGCTGAATCACTTGTTAAAGCTCAGCAAGATATGGGGGATACAATTGGAGAACTTGGGCTTACATTTATTAAGTTGACGAAGTTTGAGAATGAACGAGCTACTGTGAATACTCAGAGAGAACGGGCTACTGATATGAAAAATGTGGCTACTGCAGCTGTTAAAGCCAGCAGATTGTATCGGGAGTTAAATTCACAAACAGTGAAGCATTTGGTAACCATTTTATCCTTTAGAGTAGACCTTGTTTTACTAAGAGTGAACCTTGTTTTCAACAATTGTTGAATTACGTCATTAGAATACAGTCAGTGACAAGATTCAGGCGGTTGTCATCTGCACTGCGCTTGTGCAATGTTTTTTTCAGCCTTCTACCACTATTTAGATTGTTGATCAACTTTATAGAACACACACTTTGGTGCACTCTGGCATTCTTAAATGAACCTTAGCTTCTAATACTGTGATAAATATGTATTTCAGGATATTCTACATGAACACCTGAGTCTAATGTTGGGTATACACCATGCATTTTCAGACCGATCAAGTGCTTTATTGACAGTGCAGACTCTCATTTCAGAATTGTCTTCCTTAAATTCAAGAGCAGAGAAACTTGAAACAGCAACCTCTAAAATATTTGGAGGTGATAAATCAAGAGTTCGAAAGTTGGAAGAGTTAAAAGATTCCATTAGGGTCACTGAAGATGCCAAAAGCTGTGCCATCAGAGAATATGAGCGCATTAAGGTATTTGGAATCAACCCATCACGTTTGTAATTGGTTCCTTTTATACTTGTAGGATTGCATATACTCTACCCTTCCTCGAGTACTTTGTGGGACTACACTGGGTATGTAGTTGTATACTTGTAGGATTGCCATTATGTGATCTACTTTATTCTGCATTCACTTCTGTTTGTTGTTTGGAAAGTGGCTTATTGTCATTAATTAACTTCAAATTTACTACTTTTTTGTGTTGCTGAAATGATATTTATTTGGATTCCCTAAATTTTGTGGATCTATTAATTTCCGAGCTCAATTATAGAGATAACAGGACCCCTATTAGCTGAAGCCTGAAGTAGGCATTCTCTCATTGGTTATTGAGATATCATCACTAGCACACCTCGTGCTGGCAAATGGTCCTGTCAGATCACACCCAAGGGTGTGGCCCCATGGTCAATGAATGGGTTAAGAACCATGAGGTATCAAGTTTAAATCCTAGTAGAGACAAATAACACTAGGTGATTTCTTTCCATCTGTCGTAGTCTTGGTGGATAGAGTTTCCTGTACCCGTTGCAGGTGGTAGGTATCCAGTGGAATCAGTCGACGTGCGCAAAAGCTGCCCCCGAACACCATGATTATAAAAAAAGGTCCTGTCGAATCGAATAAGTGTGGGTTCAAAGTGGGTTAGACAAAATGGATAAAATATCCAATTCCCCATATTTCATCCAAATAAAAAATAGGCTGAGGGACAGACAATATGAGTATCCGTAATATCCTTGGCTTCTTGAATATTATCATTATTGGGAGAATTCAAGCCTTAAATTCTATAGAAGCATCAACCTCAGTCATTTACCTTTTAACAATCCAATAGAAACATCATTATTGAGGCACAAAAAATTTGCCACATGTTTAACAATCCAATATATTGGCATTAAGTCCACTCACTAATTGTCCTATTTGAGTTGCTGTATCTGATAACTTCCTTCATGTTTTTTTTTTTTCATGACAGATAACCTCAGTCATTTACCTTTCAAATTTAGCACTTCTCTTTTCACAATTTTCATCATTTTTTCCCATCTAATCCATATTTAATATAGCAAATTTTTGTTAACTCCTTGTCTTTGAAGTGTGATATAGTCATAGTTCCTGGATGCTATTTTTGGTTTTTCTCTTTTCTCAAAGCTCAACTTGTAAGAAACATTAGTGGGAAAGAAATAAATGCTCCCGTACGAGGAACAAATTTTTATTTATAATTATTTTGTTGATCATAACATGTATGATGTGTAGCTAGATCATATTTGTTTATTTTGGCATCAACACCTTAAAGATTTGCTAAAGGATTGTGCATATACTCTTGGTTCGGTTCAAGTAATGCCAGGGGATTGTGCCATAGAATCTTATTTTGGTTCAAACTTTCACAGTCAGTTTGCTCTTAATGGACCAACTTGTCATTGGATCTAGCAAATTAAAAAGAAAACTCAGAGGAAGGTCTGGGAAGATCTAGAACTTTCTATCTTTTGGTAACTCAAAGTTGGGAAGGTCACTCCCAAGAAATGAACTCAGAAAATCGGTTCTTCTAGTTTCCTCCTTTTCATGCAGCTGCATTCTTCACGCTCGAAGTGGGGTTTCACATGGATATCCATATTTTACTGTGGGTTATTTGAATATGATCCATATTTGATCTGATTTAAATGAATCAATGATCCCCAACCTATTATAAATTTGGGTGGGTTGGACCGGATATATGAATTTTTATCCATTTTCCAGCACTAACCACTAAGTGCACCTGCATCTTGTTGGAAGTGAGTAAAAATCCTTTTGTCTCTTATTAATGTACGTCTCCTACTGATATTTTAATGCTTCGTCTTGAAAATCTTTATGATGATTGTAGTTAGCTACAACAACATACCCAGTGTAATTCCATGAGTTGTGTGATGACTCATATTTGTTGTTAGCTAATTTTGGTAAATTGCCAATTGCCCAACTTAAATTAGCCAAGTTTCAAATATTATCAGACTGAAGCATGTTGCTTACTGAGCTTAGTCTTCTTCTTACAACTCATTCTTTTATGAACCTTTATAGTGACATGTCAATCTTTTTAACCTTGAATACCTTATCTTTATTCTAAACACTACTTTAAGAGTTGTACCCATTGAGAGTAATACAATGTTTCCCTATTTTCTATTCATTGTCTATTTATGTATATGATGCAATATTAAACTAGGAGCTGAAACCCTAAACGACGAACAAGAAATAAAGATAGATAGATCTGGATTTTCCTTATTTGGATATGTAGGAAGTCCTATTATTTAGAACTTAAAGATGGATTTAAATTTAACCTTATATAAAAATCATTCCCTTATTTGAACTACATAATATTACTATATATAATCCAGATCTATCTATCAATAACAAATAATATAATAACTGAAGAAAGGGAACCAACAAGTAATAATCAAATCAAATTAAAGAATAATACTGGTAAGGAAACTAGAAAACATTTGAGTATGTACTAACCTTCTATCCTAATCCTCGACCTCTAATACTCCTATTTAGGGTTCATATCCTCGGTAAGCTGAATGTGCTATATGTCATGTTTAATCACATCTCCCAATATTTTTTCGGCCTACCTCTACCTCTCCTTAGACCCACCATAACCAACCTCTCACCTCCTCATTGGGGCATTTGTACATCTCCTCTTCACATGTCTGAATCATTGCAACCTCGCATTCCTCATCATGTCCACCACAACGGCCACTCCTACCTTGTCCCAAAATTGTCATTCCTAATCCTATCTCTCCTCTTATGCCACACATCCTTCTCAACGTCCTCATTCTTGGTCCTTTCATCTTCTAGACATACAAGTTTTTGATTGGCCAACACTCCACCTCAACCACTTTATAAAACTTAGGCCTAACCCATCGGTGGCCCCCTAAAGTTGGCACGAAGTTTCACTTAGACACCTCAACTAGGCTATGTTCATTTTAAACCCCTTATGTTGGATCTCGTTGTGTCATTTTGACACTTTTCGCTGACATGGCATGGTGAGTGTAATACACTCAAAGTCAGCGCGTGAAAGGTTTTTTTTTACGAAAAAATTATTTTTAAAACACTGTTCATATTCTTCTCTCTTTCTTTGTGATTATCTCATCCACCACACACCATCAACCCACCGCCGCTGTATTATCGCCATTAATCTTATTAAAATCGAAGCAATTTTTAATTTTACAGATCTGAAAATCACCACAACCATCATCTTCTTCTCATTCTTTTTCTTTAGATCCAACAATTAAATTTCAGTGCCACGAAATAATTACTCTATTTCTTGTTCACATATTTGAATCCTCTGCACATACGAGAAATGCAAAAAAAATACAATTCTTCCATTGTTAGTTATAACTGATTCTTTTTAGAAGTAAAGAAGAGAAAAAAATTATGCTTTTATAAATTAATTTTTTCAATGTTATTAAATTCTTTTAAAAATGTTTCTTGAAATGATGATAGAGTGAAAAAGGGGTTGAGGTTGGGGTGGGTGAGGGTAAAGAGGATGGACAATCTAGTGGGGGTGGAGGAGCGGTTGGGGTTGGGATGGGTGGAGTGGAGAAGACGCCTGAGTTGGTTGGATGAAGAAGACAAGGGTGAGTTTTTTGATGAAAATTAGAAGTGATGAATTTCTTTTTAAAAAATATTTATTATTTGAGTTTGAAATGCCACATGTCATCAAATCAGTGGTTATTTTTCTTTTTACTTAAAAGTCATTAGTTTAGAATTATTTTTTATATATATGACATGTGTCTTTGTTTAATTTGTCATTTTGACGCGTCATCAGCGAGTGTTTAACACACTTTATATTTTTGGGTGATTGTTAAAAATGTGTCCAAATGACACAACGGAACCCTACATTAGTTGTGTTCACTTCCATCTCATTTTTGAATATCCCTTGCACTTACCCATCAATCAACTACTATGGATCATCTTAAACTATATGCTCTATTCAGGCCCAAATAATCCCGATTCTACCTTGCTTATGAATAAGTTTCCTTAAAGGCAATTCAGGAGTTCTCTAAAATTAAAGGGCCTCTAAATCTAACATTTATTCCTACTGCGTATACAAGATTACGAGTATCTGAACAGCCCAAGGGCCAAGAAGACTCTTGGCTTACACCGGACTTGATGGAAGTTTAATGACAATAATAACTATATATCAACTGGGTTGTTTGAACTAAATGGGACTCCAGTTTCAATAAAATAAACTAAATGGGACTCATTCAAAATATTTCTAAGATAGTTTGGAATCACAATCATAAAGTAAGGTAGCAAGCATCTGGGATAAAAAGTCATAACAAGTGAGAAAGATGTTGGTGTTATTGACAACAGATTAGGATTCTCTCAGGCACTCTTCACCAAAACCTTCTCTCTCCTGCTTCTTAGGGGAACATATCACCTTTTCGGTGGCTTTTCAGCCGGAATTCTTTTCTTTTGTTCTTTACAATTCCAAACACCACCTTTCTGTGGTAGTTTTCTTGTTTTTTTTTTTCTCAGCACCCTCTTTTCTTGTTCCAACTTTCTGCAGTTTCTCTACACATGGAGGATGATAGGATTGATTAGCATGCCAGTTTTAAGTCTTACGACATATTAAGTCCAGCTCTTAATCGGAAACTTCAAATGGACTGAGTGCAGCAGAAATTTAATGAGAAAAGTAACTAAGTCTTAAAATTATGAAGTGGTTAGTTCAGGTATTTATTGCAGCTTCAAGGGAGCAAAGAATGTCACTTAAGAGGTGGAAAACAAGGGACCATTTTGCAAACTCAAAAGCAATGAACAGGGTAGATACACCAGGTTTATTGCAATCCAGCGCGGGGGGGGGGGGACAGATCACTGAATAACTCCTGAAATCATATTAAATACTAGATGGACTGCAATAGCACAGACATCTCAAGATTCATTACAGTGCCACAGTGAGATGAGAAAACAGCAGCTAACAAACAACATCAGCTCAAGTTCTCTTTTGGTGAAGCCATGAGAAA